AAAAAAAAAAAAAAAAAAAAAAAAAAAAAAAAAAAAAAAATCCCATTAACTAAATACGTTCGTACTCCCCGCGCGAAAGAACAAAAATGGCGGGAAACAAAAGAGTAACGGAACCTCCAGCGCCGCCACGACAAAAGCCGCCGGCAGGAGGAGCAGCAGCCGTCCGAGAGAGTTGCTTTTGGGGGCAGCCTCACCCCCCACTCTCTTAATTCCTCTTCCTCTTTGAAAAGCCTTATCACACTCTGATAATTTCTTCCTCTTGCTCTTCCTCTTCCTCCTCCTGCGCCGTCTACGGAGGGGTATATATAGAAGGGTCTCGATGGGCGACCTCTATTAGGCGTCGTGGCCTCGTGCGTGTCTGAGCATCTGTGTGGCGGGGGTCAAGGGGGTCTTGCGTGGGGCTGGTTTTAGAGGGAGAGAATTCAGTGTATTTTCCCTAAAAATATATGTACTGAAAAGGTGAGGATAAGAGTGTTCGGGACTGGGTATACTAATACAAAAAAAAAAAAAAAAAACTGTACTGATGGTGAAACGATTAAAAAAAAACTAGATTGAAAGTGATTAAAAATAAATAAATAAATAAAACTATAAGGTGAAATATTTTTATAAAACTATACTGAAGGTGATTTTTTTTTTTTCATAAAACAATACTGAAGGTGGAATAATTTTTATAAATATAATGAAGGTGGAATAATTTTTATAACTATACTGAAGGTGAAATAATTTTGATAAAGCTATACTGAAGGTGAGTTTTTTTTTTGTTTTTTTTTTATAAAACTATACTGAAGGTAAATTAATAGCTTAAGACCTATACTAAAAAGATAAAAAAACTGGGCATAATTACACAATTTCCGTCGCTGGTCGCGGGATGTGTAGAGAAACCGAGGTGTAAGTTATCGAAATGAAAAAATAATTTTCGTGAAGTGATTTCACTTCGTTCAGACGATAACCTCGCCCTTCCCACCTCCAGAACCGCCATGTCACTCCCTTCCGTCCTTCTGTGTATTCTCGCCCTCTTCGGAACGAGTCTCCGGGCGGCCTCCCTTCACCCAGACCGAGTCAGACCTTCAGCCCCGCCTTCTTCGCCTCCTGCAGCCCCGCCTTCTTCGCCTCCTGCAGCCAACACCCTAAGAAAAACCTGGTCTTGGAAGATCGTGAACGGGACGGCCCACTCCTCCTCGGGATCTCTCTTACTCTCCTTCGTCCCGCCCGCCAAAACCCTTCGTCAACGCCCATCAGAACCACCCCCGCCCAGGCCGCCCATCCCCACGGCTGACACCTATCCCCGGCCGAGAGTTCCCCCGCCCACGGTCGTCAGGAGTGCCGTGCTGGAGGTCCTGGAAGCCAATAACCAGTGGGTGGGCGAGGTCGTGGAGGCCGTCGGCGACACCTCAGCGCCATCTGTTAGGGAGATTCGAAGCGCCAGGTGAGGCTTCGAATCGAGAACCGAGGCTCGGGTTTATAAAGGGGCTCTTTATAACTTGATGACTAATGGCATCAATAATCGGAATAACAAAAATGATTAAATTAAAGAGACAAGAGATGTTTCGCTCAAGGGGCGGTCACACGAACGTTTTTACACCGATAAATCAACGGAAACGAGGAAGTGGCTTGTCAAGAGTCTATAGTCTGCTAAAGAAAAAATACTCCACTGTGTACCTAAAAACAATTATTTATATTTAAATAATTTTTATCGGTGTAAAAACGTTCGTGTGACCGCCCCTTAAGCGGAACATCTCTTGTCTCTTTACTTTATTCACATTTTTGTTATTCCGATTATTGATGCCATTAGTCATCATCATCGTCATCATCGCTGTCATTATTTTTTTCTTATCAATTCATATAATTTTTCATGTTCTTATTTGTATTTTTCTTATTTTTATCTTTACCATTACCATTTCCATTAATGTTATTTTTTATTTTACAGTAATGATTATTATTACCATTTTTGTTATTATTTCCATTACTGTTATTATTATCATTATTACCATTATTATCATTATTACCATTTTTGTTATTATTTCCATTACTGTTATTATTATCATTATTACCATTATTATCATTATTACCATTATTA